AGCTTCTCTGAAAGTTTACAAAATGACCTAGGCTTTCAACATCTCTCTGCTACAGCGCAGGATCTGATAATACCTAGCCAAAAAGGGTAATTCCTTTCACTTTGAACACAGAAGGCATGAGAGGTATGGCAATACAGGGAGTAAGAGACGGTAGTCAAAAAGTGAAAAATGAATTATGAATCTTTGATTTCAGAGTTTTCTGCGTAATAAACAAGTATGGGAAAAATTGCCAGTCACATACCAGGAGGCATATCAAAAAGTACTTATCAATCACTCTTATTCTCTTACTTTCTTCCTCTTTAAAGTAAACAGATTTAAGTATTAACATGGAAACTCCTGGACATTTCTCTCTCACATAAAGGTCCAGGGCTGAATTGGCCTTTCATAGTATGAGGAGCCCACATAGCTACGTTGCTGTTGTTGTTAGGTACCATGGAGCTAGTTCTGACTCATAGTAACCCAATCACAATCTTTGCTGTGTTTCAGCTCCTTGTTTCAGCCACTGTGCCATTCCATCTCATTGAGGGTCTTCCTACTTTTCACTTTACTAAGCATGATTTTCTTCTGAAATTCCTGTCCTTCACAATGTTATGAATCATTTTTTATCATCCCATACTTGAATGTCATTTTGTAGTCAATAAAATACATGTAAACATCCTTCTAGTATTCCCTGCTGTTGGTCAGAGATCCATCTGATGTCAGAAATGAGATCCCTCTTTACAAGTCCTCTTCTGACTCAATTTCTGATCTTTCCTGTTGGTGTATTGCTACAACTGTTTTCAAGTATCTTCAGCAAAATCTCACTTGGACATGATATTTGTTCAATAATTCCTACATTCTGTTGGATCATTTTTCTTTGGAATGAGCACAAGTAGGGATCTCTTCTATTCGGTTGGCCAAGGAACTGTTTTTCAAATTTCTCAGCATAGGTGAGTGAATGCTTCCAGCATAGCATCCATTTATTGAAACATCTCAATTTGTATTCTGTCAATTCTTAGAGCCTTGTTTCATGCCAATGCACCACAGCACAGCTTGAAGTTCTTCCTTCGATACCATCAGTAATTGCTCAGATTCTACCTCCTGAAAAGGTTGAATGAATGGTGACCAATGCTTTTTGATACTGTGACTCTGTGCATTCCTTCCATTGTTCTTTTTTTTTAAGTTTTTATTGTGAATTATGTGTTAGTTTACATGGGAGAACATTATCTTTACATTCATCCTATCGTACTTCATTTCAACACAATGATTACAATCCCCTGCATGCATCATCAACCAACCAAAGGGTACACCCCGCACACCGGTCCCCTGGCTGCCAGCACACAGACCCTTTCCCTCCCTGAATCCAGAGTCCCCAGCTGCTCATTCTCTCCAGGTCATCGTCTCTGCCTCCATCCCTGGTGTCACTGCCTCCCCAGACATGGTCCCGCACTTCGCTTTTCTCCCTTGATGGTTCCAGGGATCTCTGCTCCTGGACTGCAAAATCAGCCACTCCCCTCCTTTTGTTACAAAACATTTATATTTACCTTTCCAACACTCACTGTCAGACCTGATAGCAATCATTCCCTATTGAACCACAAGAGTCTTATCCCCCTCACCTTTTATCACCTCCATCCAGACAGGTTGGAAAAAACTCAGTGGAGATTCTACCTTTCTATGTACCCTCTGAAACTAGGTTCCTTATTGGAAGCTTGTAAGCCTGTCACTTCTTTCCTTTGTAGCCCCTCATTTTGAGTAGCCAATGTCTAAGTTCCCCATCCTTGTCAACCCTGTGTACCAAGGGGGTGGGAATGATCCTCACCGTAAAGATTTGTTCGCTCCTTTGTCATACTGCATCCACAAGCATAGGTCAAGTTCCTCCAATTGTAGTGGGTTACTCTTTTTTTCCTCTTCTTTCTTCCTCTAGTCATGTTCTGATCATCCAGCCATTGATGCCAGGTCAAGTGGGTACTATCTCCTTCCATTGTCTTTTGATGCTTCCTACATTGTTCAATATTTTGTCCACTGAATTCTTCAGTAATGCATCTCAAGGTTTGAGTGTTTTATTCAGTTCTTTCAGCTTGAGAAATGCTATGCAAATTCTTCCCTTTTGATTTTTTAACTACAGACAGGTCTTTGAACATTTCATTATAAAACTTTGCCTTGTCTTCTTGAAATGACCTTTAAAATTTTCTGTTCAACTCTTTTACTTCATCATTCTTCCATTCTAGAGCAAATTTCAAAGTCTCTTCTGACATTCATTATGGTCTTTTCTTTTTTCCTGTCTTCTCAGTGACCTTTTGCTTTCTTAATTTATGATGTTCTTGATGTCATCCCATACCTCTTCTGGTGTTTGGTCACTAGTGTCTAATGCATCAAATCTGTTCTTGAGATGATCTCTAAATTAAGGTGGGATATGATCAAGGTTATACTTTGGCTCTTGTGGACATTTTAAATATTTGTTTGGTTTCAACTTCAGACTTGCATATGAGCAATTGATGGCCTGTGCTGATTGATGATATTGATGTACTTGATTTGATTACAAATCTGTAATCAGGATCATTAGTTGGAAAATATGGCCTTAGTGCTAGAAAAGACACAGGAGATCACATGATAGCATTTTACAAGACCAATTATTTGGTCACTGGAAATACCTTTTTTCACCAACGTAAATGGGAACTACACACATGGACCTTGCCAGATGGACAGACAGGAATCTGTGGAAAGAGATGATGGTGGTGACTGGAGCCAACACCATAAATTCTAGTAACTCTAAAGCAAGGAGATGATATTATCTGCACATTCTAAAACATATATATAGGCTGCCAAGGACCACTGAAATCAAGGAGGATCCAAAGGAGAAGAAGCAAAGAAAAGACACACACAGAGTGGCATACCTCAGAAAGCACGGCACGGCAAAAACACATTTTTTTTTTTTTTTCAGAACGGAAAGTTACAATCTCAATGATCAAATCTGAAATTGTGTAGAACTTGGTGAACAGGTGATCTATACAAAGAATCACAACCTTAAAATTAAGAAAACAAATCCTGTGCAAACAGCTGACACAGGAATTCCAAGTCATTCATATATGAGTACACCATTTGATACATCAACTCAAAAAAGAAAAAAAAAAAAAAATAGAGAGCGAGAAAATGACAAAAAAACTTACTAAAAACAAGCAATAGCCATAGAAATATGCTACCATTTGAGCAATAACATTTTTGGACAAACATAATGCCCTAGGTCAGCAGTTGAAACCCACTAGCTGTTCCTCATAGGGTTGCTGTGAGTTGGAACCAACTCAATGGCACTTAACAACAGCAACAACAAAGCATTAGAGAGAAAACAATAGGTCAGACAAAGGAGAGACTGCTCGTGTATACCTGGGACCCCTGAAGAACAAAATAGAACAGAGCAATAGATGAGAAAAAACTTTTTAAAGATCTACTTCAAGAAAACTTTCCCATATCAAAAGCTTTGTGAAATTTGTATCATGAAAGACCACAGTACATACCAGGGAGAACAGACGAACACTGATAAAGTTGCAACCTTCTAAGGATAAAGAAAGAATCCTCTAGGATAAAAAAGCAAAAAGATTAAGTCTGGTCTCAGATTTCTTTATATTATATCAAACTTGAGAAGATAATTGAGCAACACTTACAAGCTCACCAATAAAAGAAAGGGTGAGGCAAGGATTATATGCTAAACACAACTGATATCCAAGTATTCACAGATATACAGTTTTAAACATAAAAGAGTTTAAGGAATAGTGTATCCACAAATCCTTGAGCAAATCTTCAGCTGATGAACTTTCATCATCTAGATGGCTAGCAACTGGCAGTGAACACGGAACATCTCTGGCTAGAGAACTAAGACCTTAAACACACACACACACACACACACACACAAACACGCAAGCAAACAAAACAATGGAGATGCTAATAGGCTAGAACGTGAATGCCATAGGCTATGATAATGTAGCTATGGTGCAACCTCAAACTTTAGAAAGGAAGGAGTTGAATGGAAATGGCAATTAGACAAGATTGGGTGGTTGCCTCTTCTATAATAGCTGGAGGTCAAAGGGAGCCATTTAAAGGTGATGAGCAAGGAATGTAATTAGTTCATGTCACTTACCTATCTCCTCTGCTTCTATTCCACAACATCTTTCAACTGCATTTAGGATAAAATCCCAAATCTCAGTCCTTGTACTGAGTTCTGTAGCCACATCTCAACCCTCAGGCATTTCTCTCCACCCTCCCACTTCCCCTTTAGTTTCAGGACTCCCCAGGCTCATTGTTGTAGCCTGCATTTCATATATGCCACTCCGCCTCCCCTCAGGGTTTCTTCACCCTTACTGTTTGAAATGTTCTTTCCCCTTTTCTTCACTGCCCCACATACTTCATTTCAGATGAAAATGCCACTTTCTCAAAGAGACTCTTTTCTGACTCTCCAGATGAATTTAATTCTGTGTTAGGCCCAAAATATTTTTCCTTCATATTATTAAGTTCAACTTTATGTAGTTATTTACTTAATATCTACCACTCCCACAAGACTGTTCATTCCACAGAGACAGAGCTTAGTCTGATTGAAGACTTTTGATTCCTAGAACCAAATATTGGGGTTGGTGTGTGTAAGCTCTTACTAAACATTTACTGAGAAGCTAATGGAACCGTTTTTCTCCACAAACAGCTCTTTCTGCCTCATCTGTACCTGGAATGTGATATGGCAAGAAACCACTTCCACAAATAATACTGGAAAACTGCAAGATCTTTATAACATTCCATTTTATATGTTGTCTTTACTGAAATAGGAAAGACTGAAAATGCACCATGGAAAGGTTTTCAGAAAGAATTGATTGGAAAGAGTTTTCCAATATGCTATTTGTTTTCTGTAAAAATCAGAAGACATTTTGTCTCACAAGCGATGGGTTTAAGCAATTTTTTTTTTTTTTTTTACATGTTTCCATATACCATCTGTTGTGTAGAGACAGTAAAGCTGAAAATTAGAAAGCTTTCTTACTTACTTTGGATGTTCAAACTTGTCTATAAGATCAACTTTTTCCACCAGGTCTCCTCCAATGGTTCGGACTAAGTCATAGAAATCATTCTCTGTGTAATTCTCAGAGGGCAACCAGAATGAAATGTCGTTTATCACAGCTGGGTATTTACTAAGAGGCTAGCAAAAAAGAGAAGAGAAGACAGATTGACTTGTTAGTTAGATTAGGGTGTTTAAATTTTTCATGAAAAGTTTCACTTGGCTAATTAGGAAAAAAGCTGGTAAAACATTCAGCACTTGGTATTTTCAGGGACAAAATGAACTTAAAGATAAATCAATAGCCAAATCAGCAAATACCATAATGAATGTGATAAGATTCTTATCACATTAATGTGTAACAATACTATATATTTTTTTATATTCTTATGGTGCTGTAGGATAGACATTGGACTGCTAAATGCAAGGTTGGTGGTTCAAACCCACCAGCTGCTCCTTGGAATCACTATACAGGGTCCCTATGAGTTGGAACCAACTTGATGGAACTTAACAAAAATGATCAATCTAGTATAAAACGATTGGAATTTTAGTTTCTCCCATTCAAAAACCAAAGGAGAAAAGTTCAAATTTAATTAACATGTGATTCATCAACTTCTTGTCATATTTTTAGGAAGCCATTCTACTAAGAGAAATAAGTAGGAGCTTGTCAAAACTGATTTTTCAATTACTAATGTCATTATTTGTTGGCATTTCTAATTATGAAAATAAGGGACTGGGTTGATAAGAGGTTATTTAGGGAGTTAATTTTCAAATTAGGTCTTTATAGATGCAATAAACAAGAATGCAGCCATTTCCCCCATTTTCTTAGTTTATCAGACATCAATTATTTAGTATTACAATGATTAGATATTTATTACGGATGCTTATAGAGGTCATTGCATTTGTTTGCATGACTTACACATTTGTACATCAAATCACAAATATATATATGAGAGGGTTTCAAAAAGCTCACAGAAAAATTCTACTATCTTTTACTTCTACATGTCCACAAACTTTTTGAAGCCCCCTCGTGTGTTGTTGTTGTTGTTGTTGTTGAGTGCCATCGAGTCGGGTCCGACCCATAGCGACCCTGTACAGGGTTTCCGAGGGTGTAAATCTTTACGGGAGT